TACTAAAAAAATTCTACGAGAATTCAATTATTTAACTATAAAAATAAATATTTTATTGAAAAATTGAATTTTTCTTAGAATTGAATTTTTATAAAGAATTTTATCACCAATTTTTAAATAATTGAATTCTTTCGACGAATTTTAATGAAATTGTATTAAAAATAATTGAAATTCTGCGATGAGTTTTTATTATGTACGAAAATAATTGAAATCTTGCCAAGAAATTTATTATAATTTTTGAAAATATGTAATTAAATTTTTTTTCGAGTAATTTTATTAAAATTCTTTAAAATAATTAAATTCATGCAAAAATTGTATAAATTTTAAAAATAATTGAAATCTCGACAATAATTTTACTAAAATTTTTGAAAATAATTGAATTTCGGAGAAGAATTTTATTACTTTTGAAAATAATTGAAATCTTACCATGAATTTATTAAAATAAATTTTATCAACAAATTTTTAAATAATTGAATTCTTTTGAAAAATTTTAATTGAATTTTTAAGAATAATTTCTTTTTCGAGGAATTCCATTAAAATTGTATTAAAAATAATTGAAATTGTGCCAAGAATTTTATTAAAAGCATTGAAAATAATTGAATTTCGGAAAAAAAATTTATTATTTATAAAGATAATTGAAATTTCGACGAGAATTTTTGTAAATTTTTAAACATAATTGGATTTCTGCCAAGAATTTTATTACAGGTTTTGAAAATAATTGAATTTCGGAGAATATTTTTATTATTTATAAAAATAATTGAAATTTTGACGAGAATTCTTGTAAATTTTTAGACATAATTGAATTTCTGCGAAGAATTTTATTAAAATTATTTTGAAAATAATTGAATTGTTACGCAAAGAATTGCGTAAATTTTGAATTGAATTGAATTGAAAATAATTTTATTCTTTAAAGAAATTTATTTGAAAATTTATTGAAAATAATACTTAAATTCTAATAAAAAAAATTGTAGCAAAGGTTATTAAAATAATTAAATTTCTTTGATAAATTTTTATAAAATTTTTAAGAATAATAACTTTTTTCGAGGAATTGCATTAAAATTGTATTAAAAATAATTGAAATTCAGCATTGAATTTAATTATTTATGAAAATAATTGAATCCCTGTAAAAAAATGTTATTATTCACAAAAATAATTGAATAATATATGAAAATAATTTGTAAATAATTGAATTCCTGTGAAATTTTTATTATTTATGAAAATATTTAAATGTTTGCGTAGAATTTTATTAAAATATTTTTTAACTAATTGAATTCTTTTAGAAATTTTTATTAAAGTAGTAGTTATTAAAAATCATTGAATGAAGAAAATTTTTTAAAAATAATTAAAATTTTGCCAAGAATTTTATGAAAATTTTTGAAAATAATTGAATTTCTGATAAGAATTTTATTACTTTAAGTTCATCTACTTTTGAAAATTGTAAACGGAACTCTTTTAAAATTGAATTAGTTTTGAAATATTTAAGTGAAATTAGATTTCAAGAGTAAACACAATATGTTTAGAAAACAATTTTCCAGGATTTCGATCAAAATTCCCTGAATTTTCCAAGTTTTCCAGGTTTGGGTTTGCTTCTTACCATTTTTTGGAAAGCACGCCACATTTTGTATATTAATTTTCTTTGAATAGTTTCTAATTATCGAAGTTGTGTTAAAAAATTTCTTGTTTTGTTTTCGAAGTAGTTCTTTTAGTTCCCTAGAATTGATTTCCAGAAAAAACGCTCCAAAAATTCTGAACGTTGAAACGAACACGAAATATTATCAAAAATTGACTCTTAAGAAGCAAAAACCAAATTTAGAAACAGAAAAAAAAAATAATTTTATGTAATCAACAGTTTACGATTTAAAGAATATTTTTTCTATTCTAGATAGAATCTTTTTTCCAAATATAAAAAAAAAAACCCTCAAGGTGATAATAAAACGGAAAATTTTCCTCATAAAATATAAAAGTGCAAAATTATTCGAACGTTGAAACGTCGATTTTTCGCGAATCTGAAAAGAGAGAAAGAGAAATAAAAAAAGCATTCATAAAAATTGGGATCAGAAAAATAAGAGAAAAAAAAGGAGGAAAAAAAATGGCGACAGATCGATGCGAGTGGCGCTTGTCAAAAGGGATGTATTTTCTCAAGGCCGATTCTGACGCACCGTGAATTTTTGTGTCGAGCGCACGTGCGGAAGTGTCTCCAGAACTTCCAGCACTTGCATTATCCTTGTCTTGTCTTCCATTATTCCCATGTTAACTCTTCTTCTTCTTATTCTTCTTCCAAGTCCTTTTCTTTGAAAGGATTATTATTAGGATACATATATGTCTAATTCACTTTTAATGATCATTTTTTCAGCTGCTCGCGAGGAAAGGAAAAATAAGCAATCAAGTCCCGGGAAGATGAAATTTTCCAACAAAAAAGAAAAAAAGATGTTTTACTCTGGAAATGATTATTATGAGAGAGATAGAGAGAGAGATAAGGAATGGAAAAAAATGGAGTTTCCACAACTCTTCGAGTACGCAGGAGCCACGCCCAGGACACTCGCGGCGGACATCTTTAATATCTCACTTTACTCTCCCACACCCCTTGCGCAATAAAAACTACTCGAGGGGGTTATTGATCAAAAAGTGCTGAAATATTATCAACTCCCACTGATGTTATTTTGTCATTGCTTACGTCTGCAAGGATTCATTCATTTAGATCATCGATGTTTCTTTTAGTAAGTTTTTCTCCTTTCGTGTAATGTTTACCTTTTTTTCCAATGTAGTTTTAATTATTCTAAAAAACGAATTTCGAATTTCCAAAAATTATGAAGAGGAAACAAATTTTCCTTGACAATTGATTTTTATAAGAAAATTTTTGTTTTTGTCACTTAAAACTTTTTGTTTTCTATAAAATTATTTTGATGAACCGAACATTTTCGTTTCAATGATAAGACAACGTTTTGATTTGAAAACTTGAAAGGAAATGTCTAAAAATAGAATTTTTTCGGGACAAGAAAAAAAAGTGTATCGCTCTCGTGATAGAGGAGTTCGTAAAAGTTTCCCTCTCACAAATATTTCTTTGCTAATCAATACCAAAGTCTGGTAGCAACAATCGCGTTCGGTGCCAATAAATAGATTTTACTTTTTAAAGAAATTTTCCACTTTCAACATAAGAATATTGTGAATTGAATATAAAATTTTAAATATTGTTTATTATGAAAAACAAAAATCGAAGTTTTAATTATTCGCCAAAATAATAATTTGCTCCGAAATTAGATTTTTTTAATTGAATTTTTAATTATTCGCCAAAATAATAAAATTAGGAAGAAAACAGGAAAATTTAAATTAATCTACATTTGCTCCGAAATTAAATTTATTTTAATTAACAAACTGAAACAGCGGTTGAAATTTTCAATTTTGTTTTCAAAAGGTTCAATTTTTCCTGGTTAGAAAAAATTTGAAATCAAATTAATCGAGATGATGCTTATGTCCTTGAAGATGTATTGATATTTATAAAATTATTGATTACGTACTCTATAGGTGATGTAAAGACATTTAAAGATGACTATTTTAGAATTTATAGGTCCTGTAATGATGCTATTTATGAAAAAGGTAGAAGATCTTATAGACAATAATTGCTTTTTAAGAGAATTTCTCTGCGATTTTCTACAAGATGTATTTCTTTGAAAAAAATAGACAGTGATTTATATTCATATTTTGGAATTTTTATACGAATTTCTCAAAATATGAAAACTAATTTTCCAAATTAAAAATGTATTTTTTTTGCTATTATTATTATTAATTTTTTTTTTTGTAAAATTAAAAAGAATTTCTGATAATTTGATGAATTTTTCTAAAGCAAGAAATTCAGTAATTAAATGTTCGCAGAATTAGAACTATTTCCTTTCGAAATTTTTCACGTTCCGTCATAATTCAAAGTCAAAAATTCTATTTATGTTCTTGAACAATTGTTATCGACAGAAATAATTAATTTGACTAAATAATTGTTTTTTAATTATTTTGAAAGAAGATTTCGACTTTTAATAATTATTTTTTATTACTTTTTTATTATTTTTTAATTTAATTATAATTTTTTGTTATTTTTGTTATTATTTTTTAATTTAATTATAATTTTTTCACTCAATTATTATTTTCCTCCTTAGAAAATAATTTATTCTTAAATAGTAATTTTTTTGTTTGGTAATTTTCATTCGACAGTAATATTTAGAAAAAAATCAAAAGGTTGTGGAAATATTGTAAATAATTCCAATACTCACTATTTGCACTTTTTATTTTTATTTTTTATTTATTCATTCAGTTTATTCAAAAAATTCGGTAAATCGATACAATAATTGGGTTTTATTAATTGAACTAATTAATCGATCTAATTAATCCAAAGTTTACTAATCCGCGTTCCTAGTACGTGGCCGCGATTACGAAAGAGGTACGGAAATTATATTAGAAAAAAAATATTAAAAATAGTAAAATATCCTTCGAAAATAGGAGATTTTGTTTTAAAAAATCAGGAAATATAAACATTTGATAACAATATTTTTGTAAAATGAAAATATAAGAGAAAAAATATAAAAATAATTCATATAATTGTATAGGTGAAACGAAAAAAAAATGGAATCGAGTTTGGGAAAATGTTTTTGGAGAAAATTCACTGGAAAATGCAATAATCGAAAAAAAAAATAGTGGAAAAATTCCTATTTGGAAAACAAGAAAAATATTTTTAAATTAAAAAAATTTGTTTGTTTTATTTTTTTAATTATAAAAATTAAAAATGTTAATTTTCATTTTTTAAATTGATAAATTTGATTTAAAATTGCAGAAATGGGAAGAGTGGTAAATGTAATGGAAAAAAATGTAACAGCTGGATGATGATGGGGGACATCAAATATCAATAATCAATATAATTATAATAATTAATAATAATTAATAAATTCAACATTAGGCATAATAAATTCAAATAACAAAAAGACATAAGAAAAAGTAAAGAAACAAATGAAACATACCGGTCTTTTAACGATGAAAATCAGTGGTTGGAGGATGCTGAGACTTTTAGCGGCAGAATGGAATGTAGAAGAAGGTTTTCTTACGACGTTGTTTTAGAAATTGTAGCGCCGGGGTCCGTTATTTTTATTTATATTTTCCCTTTTTTTTTAATATTTAAATAACAAATTGAATCTTTTTTTTTATTCGGTTAGGATTATAACACTAACTTTTAAACAGTCTCTTTTTTCTCTCTCTTTTTTTTTGGTTTAAAATTTCCCTTCTTTTCCCCTTTCTTAAATATTTTAATTCTATTTCAGTATTTATAGGAAATGTGAACGCGTGTTTCGAATATCGAACCTGATATTAATTTTCTTTTATAAACAGCCTTTAAATTTTAAAAAGTGTCCACGCCCAAAAACCCTCCAATGGAGACGACGTCTCTTCTTTAAAAACAATCTTCCAGTTGAGAACGCCTTTAGAACTCGAAGATTAAATAATGGGATTTTTCTTTTCTTTTTCTAAATTCTATGATATTTCTTTCCGATGGAAATAAAAGTATTTTTGGCAGACCTTTTGTATCCACGAAGTAGACGCCACGATTTTTTTTTTTTGGATTTGAGCGATAAATAAAAGAAGGGGGATTAATTGAAATATTATCTCTCAATTATTACTCTAAATTTCATGTTATAATTTTTGTTTGCAAGAAATTTTTTGCGCTATTTTTGTATTAAGAAAACTGGATTTTTTTTGTTGCAGAATTCAAGAGTAAATGAAGAAAAAGAAAGGGAATGTGTTGACTCTGGAAATTTAGAAGATATATATAATGATATATTAATATATAGAGGACTGGAGAATGAAAAAAAATAAGAAGGTGTGGGATTTGGAGTTTGAAAAATGAATCGACGATTGAACGAACGTACGGACCTTTATAAATAACCGAACGGACGAACGAACGAATCAACGAATTATTAATTAAAGGTAATAAGTAAGAGAATAATATTGCGGGTAACGGTGTCTACAACGCAATGCCTTTATGTGGTGCGATAACTAAACTGACGAGAAGGTTTGCCGGCCTGGGCGACTGCACCCTCGACCTATCCTCGAGTTGCCCGGAAAGGGAGAAGGAGCGAGAGAGACAAGCATATCGAGTGCTACGAGAGGGAGAAAGAAAATTCACAAAATTCGAAACCAAGCGAGAGAGAGAGAGAGAAAGAGAGAGTTGCCTCCCCTACGAGTTCGCAGGCGCGGATTCTGTTGATAAGGGTAAAGAGGGGGTTGGAAGGGAAGAAGGCAAAAGGGGGGTGTGGAGGGAATTCGCGTCGTTTTTCACCGCGTGAAAAATCGCGGGTTTCGCGAGTAGGATGAGGATACATCTAACACTATATAGATATAGAAGATTTTTTTTTTCTTTTTAGTCTCTCTAAGAGTCATATTTTTCGGTAAGGGTGGTTTCCTCGGGAAATGGGCCTTTTTTTTACTTTTTTTTCTAGAGAGATCTTCCAATTTATGAACCTTGCTCGATAAGGAAGGTAATGGACGGGAGAGTTCTTTTTCTCTTTTTTTTCACCCCCCGAATCTATCTTGTAAAATAGTTACTCGTGTTTTTGAGATAAGGCTCTTTTTCGGCTTTACTCCTCTGTTAGAAATTGAAAATCAATTGGCTTAAAAGAAGTTTGAATTGAAATCTCAGGCAACAAAAATTTAATTTTTTTTACCCCGACTTCAAGACAAATTTTTGACTTTTGCCTATGAAAAATATTTCTGATTCACTCTAAATATGATTAAATACTCAAAAAAAAAAGTTCTAATAAATTTACGAATTTTTTTAAATGTAAAATTATTCGAAAACAAATAACTTCTTTTTTAAATAAATATTTAATCATTTTCTATAATTTTTAACTAAAATTCTTTTTTAAATTAATTATTTTTAATTGAATTTTCGTAAAATTGAATAATGTATGTAAAAAAATAAATTTGAAAATTCTCGAAAAACTTTTTCAAAGATTATTATTTTATCATTATTTTCTACAATTTTTAACTGAAATTCTTTTTTAAATTAATTATTTTTAATTGAAATTTCGTAAAATTGAATATTGTAAAGAAATAAATTTTTTAGTTCTCGGAGAACTTTTTCAAAAATTATTATTTTTGAAAAAGTTCTTCGAGAATTTTCAAATTTATTTTTTTACAATATTCAATTTTACGAAATTTCATCGATTATTTGGAAATTCTTCATATTAAAAAGTAAAAACTTAAAATAATATCAAAAAAAAAAAAAAAAAAATTCAATTACATTTTTAAAAAAAAAATTAATTCTACAGAACTTTTAGTTAAAAGTATAAAAAACTCTAATTTTCAAAGATTTGAATTTAAAACCTTTTCAAAATTCAATTATAAAAATTACAAGTATTTGTCACTTCTCAATCCAAAAATCAATTCTTTTCTATAAAAGTTTTAATTAAAATTCTTCTCAATTATTTTTGATCATATTCTTATAAATCAATTATTTTTAATAGTTAAGAATTAAAAATGTATTTAAAAAATCAATTAATTTCGAAAAGAATTGGAATTAAAATTTTTGAAAAAATTCAGTTTTTTAAAATTTCTAATTAAATTCATTAAAAATTCAAAATTTTCTTAAATTTCAAACTGAAACTTTTTCAAGACTCGATTTTATTTCTAAAAATTGATACTATTTGTAATTTCTCAAAAATTCAATTATTTTTTGAAACCTCTTTTCAAAAATCAATTATTTTTTTAAACCTCTTCTTAAAATTCAATTATTTCTAAAAATTAACTTTATAATGCTGTGAATATTCAATTATTATTTAAAATTTTAACTGAAATTCATTTTTAAATCAATTTTTATTAGAAAATTCTTCGAGAATTCAATTATTTAAATACAAAAATAATTAATTTATTGAATAATTGAATTGAATGTTTCTTCAAATTGAATGTTTTCGACGAATTTTAATAAATGCTTTAAGAATAATTACATTTTTAAAGAAATTCAATTAAAATGATTAAAATTCTACGATGATTTTTATTATTTACGAAAATAATTGAATAATTGAATTCCTAAAAGTTTTATTATTTATCAAAATAATTAAATTTCTGTTAAAAAATTTGATTATTTTGATAAATAATTGAATTACTGCGAAGAAATTTATAAAAAAAATTTGTAAATAATTGAATTTGTATGAAATTTTTATTTGTTAAGAAGATAATTAAATGTTTGCGTCGAATTTTATCAAAATTTTTTTTTTGAGTAATTAAATTGATTTGGAAAATTGTAGAATTTAAATACTAAATATTCAAAATCATTGAGTTGAGTACAAATTTTTGAAAATAAATGCCATTTTGACAAAATTTCATTAAAATTTTTGAAAATAATGGAATTTTAAAAAAGAATTTTATTATTTATAAAAATAATTTAATTCTTTTCAAGAAATTCAGAATTTATAAAAATTATTTAATTCTTGCGAAAAATTTCAAAATTTTCTAAAAATAATTTAATTTTTGCGAAGAATTTCGAAATTTATAAAAACACTTGAATTTTTTCGAATAATTTTATAAAAAATTTTGGAAAATAGTTGAATTAGTTGTGAAAAAATTTGTTAAAAGTGAATTCTCGCAAATGATTTTATTAATTGTGCGAAAAATTGAAAATAACTGAATTTTTTTTTAAATAATATTTTTTTAATAATTTTATTTAGAAATTTGAAAGTATAATTGAATTTCGTTAAGTTTCAAATTTCAAGTTTTTAAAATAATCCTCTTTCTCAATAATTGTAATTAGACATTTTTGATTATTGAATTTAATTAAGAATTTTAGAAAATAAATAAATTCTTCTCTGAATTTTATTCTAATTTTGATAAATAATTGAATTTTTTCAAAAAAAATTCTTTAATTTTTTTAATAGAATCGTTTTTTTGTTAATAATCATAATTAGTAAATTATAGTTAATAATTGATTTTTTTAAAATTATTTTTTAAATTTCTAAGCAAAATTCTTCATTAAATAATTTTGAGTATTAATTTTTTGATAGTTCTTCAAGAATTAAATTATTTAAAATAAATTCTTGTCAAAAATAGAATATTCTTGCTTTTTTTAAAATTGAAATTCTTGGTAATTTTGAAGGCAAACAGAAAAGGTATTAAAATTCAGAATTTTGTTTTAGGAATTCTATGAGAATTTAATTTTTTAATTACTTTTAATAAATATTCCTTGACTTTTCCCTGACCTGTGGCAACCCTGAAGAAGCAAATTCACTTTAAGGTGACATTCGTGTTACTTTTACTTCAATTAAAAGTTTCTTTCTTTCTAAAACTAAAATCAGTTTTCATCGAATGTTTTGGATCTAATGAAAAAAGTTGAACCAGTGCGGTTGTATTGTAGAGAGTCGATTCCCTTCGTATAATTTTCATTCCAAACACTAGATACAAAAATAACTCGAAGATATGTTACAAAAAAAAAGTCGAAACGAGACTTAACTAGACGTAGAAACTATACTATTTTGCCATTACTCCTGCTTGATATCAGCTCATCAAATGGGGTTGTTTTATTCCAACGCGTGGCTTTTGTGCCTTTACCCATGCATAATTTATTCTTAGAGAGAGAGATATATATGAATATAGATATACATTGTCTTCGTATAATAGAAGGTAGACTAACCATTTTTAATGAGTCATGAACATGTGAAGAGAGAGATGGAGAGAAAGTGAAAGAAGGAGAGAGAGATCAATGTTAATAACCGTGCAATAAGGGCTGAATTTATGCTTCCTTCTCCCAGAAGTATACATATAGAAAGTGTTTTCGAAAATTTGCATTTCCATCCTATTTTTAAAAAATAAGAAAAAGTCTCTTCTTGCAATAAAAAAAAAATTCCATACAATTAGAAAAACTATATTAAAAAAGTGCAAAAGTGTTTAAAAAAGAGCAAAAATGTTTAAAAAGGGTTTAAGTCCGTAAAAGTCCGTGTAGGATATAATTTAGGAAATTTTAGAGAAATGAAAAATGATTGCAAAAATTCAATAATTTTCAAAAATAATAAAATTCTTCGCAGAAATTTCAATTATTTTCAAAAATTAAAAAAAATTCTCGTCAAAATTTCAATTATTTTTATATAAATAATAAAATTCTTCACCGAAATTCAATTATTTTCAAAAATTTTAATAAAATTCTTGCCAAACAATTTAATTATTTTCACAAAATAATAAAATTTCTACAGAAATTCAATTATTTAGAAATTTTCTATAAATTTCTTCGCAATAATTCAATTATTTTCATAAATAATAAAATTTTTACAGGGATTCAATTAATTTCGTAAATAATAAAATGCTTTCTAGGAATTCAATTATTTTCATAAATAATAAAACTCATTGCAGAATTTCAATTATTTTTAATATACAATTCTAATCAAATTGCTTGAAAAATGTAATTATTCATGAAAATTTTATTAAAATGCGTCGAAAGAATTTAATTATTTAAAAATTAGTTGATAAAATTATTTATGAGAATTGAATTTTAAGAAACATTCAATTATTCAATAAATTATTTTTTGCATTATAAATTATAGCAGAAATTTCATTATGTTCAAAAATAATAAAATTCTTCTTAGGGATTCAATTATTTTCACAAATAATAAAACTTTTCGCAGAATTTCAATTATTTTTAATACAATTTTAAACAAATTTCTTTAAAAATGTAATTATTTTTTTAAATTTTATTAAAATTCGTCAAGAGAATTCACATATTTAAAAATTAATTTTATAAAATTCTTTACGAGGATTCAATTTTAAGAAACATTTAATTAATAAATTATTTATTTTTGTATTAAAATAATTGAATTCTAGTAGAATTTTCTAATAAAAATTGATTTAAAAATGAATTTTAGTTAAAATTTTACATAATAATTGAATATTAAGAGCATTTAAGGATAATTTTTTAGAAATAATTGATTTTTAAAAAGAGGTTTAAAAAAATAATTAAATTTTTGAGAAATTACAAATATTAGAAATTTTTAGAAATAAAATCCAGTCTTGAAAAAGTTTCATTTTGAAATTTAAGAAAATTTTGAATTTTTAATGAATTTAATTAGAAATTTTAAAAAACTTATTTTTTTCAAAACTTTTAATTCCAATTCTTTTGAAATTAATTGATGTTTTTAATACATTTTTAACTTTTAACTATTCAATTATCAAAAATAATTGATTTCTAAGAATATAATTAAAAATAATTGAGAAGAATTTTAATTAAAACTTTTATAGAAAAGAATTGAATTTTGGAGAAGTGACAAATACTTGAAATTTTTATAATTGAATTTTGAAAAGGTTTCAAATTAAAATCTTTGAAAATCAGAATTTTTTATACTTTTAACTAAAAATTCTGTAGAATTAATTTTTTTGAAAAAGTTTAATTGAATTGTTATTTGAAATAATTTAAATAATTGAATTCTAGTAGAATTTTCTAATAAAAATTGATTTAAAAATGAATTTTAGTTAAAATTTTACATAATAATATTTGAATATTAAGAGCATTTAAGGATAAAATTTTTAGAAATAATTGAATTTAGAAAAGGTTTAATATTTTAAAAATTGGCAAAATTTGAACTATTTTCAAAAATTTTCTACAACTCAATGATTTTTAATATCTACTGTTTTAATACAATTTTTTAAAAGAATTCAATTTATTAAAGAAAATTTAATTATTTTCATAAATAATAAAAATTTCACAGTAATTCAATTATTTACAAATTTTTTTATAAATTTCTTCACAATAATTTCATTATTTTCATAAATAATAAAATTTTTACAGGAATTCAATTATTTATATAAATAATAAAACTCATCGTAGAATTTCAATTATTTTTAATACTATTTTAATCGAATTACTCGATAAATTTCATTATTCCTGAAAATTTTATTAAAATTCGACGAAAGAATTTAATTATTTAAAAATTTGTTGATAAAATTTGAAAATTTGTTGAAAATTTATATTTTTACAGAAAGTCAATTATTGAAATACAAATTTTAAAGAAAATTATTCGACAGAAATCAAATATTTAAAATATTTTAAGAACATTTTTTGAAAGAAATTAATTATTTTCTAAAATTTTGATTACATTTGTTTGTAAGAATTAAATTATTTTCGTAAATAATAAACTCCATCGCAAGAAGTCATCAATTTTTTACGAAATTTTAATTAAATTATTCGAAATAATTGAATTAAAATTATTCTTTTAAATTTTCATAAAATGATTCAAAAAAATTCAAATTTAATAATTCTTTCTCGAAAAAGGAAATTATTCTTAAAAATTTTATAAAATATTTATTTTTATTTAATTTTTTTTTAAATTAAAATTCTTCAATAGAAATCAGTTATTTTCAAAAATTCTGATAAAATTCAATACAATTATTCAATTGTAAGAAAAAATTCATTATTCCATCAATTATTTATTTTTTGTAATTAAACAATTGAATTTTATCAGAATTTTTGGAAATAATTGATTTCTTTCGAAGAATTTGAATGAAATTTTTAATAATAATTTTCGAGAGGAATTCGACTAAAATATAAATAATTATTATAAATAATTGAATTTTGAAATTAATTTTTTTGAAAAAGTTTAATTGAATTTTTTTTTATATTATTTGAAGTTTTTATTTTCTAATGTATTTCTAATTGAAGAATTAACGAATAATTGAAATTCGTAAAATTGAATATTGTAAAGAAATGAATTTGAAAATTGTCAAAGAACTTTTTCGAAAATTATTTGCTTTAAAGAAGAATTATAGTTAAAAATTCTAGAAAATAATAATTGAATTGAAATGATGAAAAGAATTTTGAGGAAGTAATAATATAAAATAATAATTTTATCAATTTGCCATCTTTGATAATTAAATTAAAATTTTTGTCAGAGATTGGTCCGTAATTTTTCATTTTTGGTTCGTAAAATTTAATTTATATAGTTTTAATGAAAAATGTTCTCTTACATATTTGACTTAAATTTTTGTCAGAAATTCGGACCGTAATTTGTCATTTTTGATTCGTTAAGTATTTTTTGATTCGTATTTTTAAATACTTTCACTGATTCGAGCCCTGAGAAATAAGCGCAGATTTTTATTAGCGCTTTTTTCGATCTGACCAGTAGTGCGTCGTGTATCATCCCTGCTTTTAACAAGAGATCTATTTCAGCTTCCCTAGGTCGGCACCCCGCGAAAAAAAAGGCTCGCCCTCTTTTTCGTAACATATGTTCAAATCCCTGTGACTTTTGTATGCACACACATTTATTTTTTTTTTTTATATGGATAAATAAAAAACCTGGAGTATTAATAAATTTTCTTTTTCAGGGACTTGCACAACTTGCAAGGAGGAGAAGGAGGAGGAGTGTGTACGTGCGATGCAATTAGAAATTCAAACGAAGGGTGAAACTCGTCGCCTCCTGAGCATCCAGGGCTTTGATGTTTATTGAACTCCAGAAATTACGTTTGGTCTCTCTCTCTCTCTCTCTCTCGTGCTCTCTCCTACGCCACTGTCGCAAACTAGGATGATGAAACGAGAAGGGGGTTCTCGGTGGGGTTTGATTATCGATTCCCTGGGCACGCTCTCAGTCATTCACTCCGGGGTTTGTTCTCTCTCCTCTGTCTGGAACTACCCCATCGTCTCTCCCTTTCTCGTCCATGAAACCAGGGCTACCAACGTTCAACACACCCACCCCCGAAGGAAAAGTCCACCACCCCCAATTTTCAAGGCACTCTCTCGCTCTCTCTCTCTCTGTTTTTTTTTTTAGTTGTGTAAAAGTGCGCTTGCGTGAATTAGAGCAAAAGGGGTGGAAGAGACAAAAGAAGAGGTTGAAAATTGCTTGAGAGGGGATGAAAGAGCCGAATGGCAACGAGTGCCAACTGTCAGGGTTGCCAACCTCTTTCCACGTGTAAAAGGGCTTTTACTCCATCGCGTAGAACTTTGAGGCAATGCAATTGGTTGAACGACCCTGAGAATGTCACTAAAGTTCAAGAGAGGTTACTGGAAAAACAACCGAAAAAAAAAATTCAAGTGGGCCTCGTCGTTTTTTTTTACTTTCAAATATTTTCTCCAAGGGGTGGTTTTTTAAAGACACGCTAAGAATTGGAGAATGAATGAATTTTTAAATGATTGACGTATAATTCTTCTACTTCTTGTATTTCGAGAATTTTCCGTAACTTTAGCAGACATTTTTTCTGCCCCAACTTTTGTAAAATTGAACAGAATTTTCAGTTTTTCAATTTTAGAATTTTAGAATTTTTAGGCTTTTGTTCTCATCTACTAAAAACTACTATTTACTACTTTTTTCAATTGGCTAATATTTGGATACTTTTTTCTTTTTTGTTTGAAAATTTGCACAAATTTAAATCTGCCAATAGTTGAAATAGAAAAATTATTCTTGAAAATTTGATATAAAATTCTTTGAATTAATTCAATTGTTTTCAAAAATTTTTGGAAAATCTTTCGCAAGAATTCAATTATTTTCTCAAGTGATAAAAATTCTTTGCCGAAGTTCCAATATTTTCAATATCTACTATTCTATAAAAAAATTTCTCAAAAGAATTCAATTATTTTATACAACAAAAATTTATCAGAAATAATATTTTTTTCACAAGAATTCAATTATTTGAAATTCAAATTTAAAAGACAATTTTGTAAATAATTGATTTTCTTTCAGAAATTTTATTAAAAATGTTATTTTAAATAATTAAATTCCTGTGAAAATTTTTCTATTTAAAAAAGAATTGAATTGTTTCGAAGAAGTTATTAAGATTTTAGAAAATAATTAAATTTATTCGAAATATATTAAATTTTTTTTTAAAAATTGATTTCTTTTGAATAATTTTATTAAAATATTTGAAAATAATTGAATTCCTGTAAAAAATTCTACCATTTTGGTAAATAATTGATTTCTTCCAAAGAATTAAAAAAAAAATTTTTTTAAGTAATTGGATTTTTAAAAATAATTTAATTTATTTAAAGTATTTTATTATTTATGGAAATAATTGAATTTCAGCGAATAATTTTAATTGGAAATTTTGAAAATAATTGAAATTAACAAAGAATTTCATTTCAAACTTTTGAGAATTTTATTACAATTTTAAAAAATAATTTAACCTGTTAGAGAAATTTTACTATAATTATCTTGAATATAATTGAATTTTTTTCTAGAAATGTTATTAAAATTGTATTGAAAATAATTGAATTTCTCAGAGAAGAATTTTATTAGTTACAAAAATAATTGAATTCTTGCCAAGAATTTTACAAAAATAATAAAAAATTCTTGAGAATAATTGAATTTAAATATTATTTTAAAAAATAATTGTATTCTTTCGAGAAATTTTATTAAAATTTTTGAAAATAATTGAATTTTTTCAAGAAATATTATTAAAATTGCATTAAAAATAATTGAATTGCTGTGAAGAATTTTTGAAAAAATTCTTTTAAATAATTATTTTTTTTCTAAAAAATTTTATGAAAAATGTATTTTAAATCATTGAATTTCTGTATAAGAATGTTTTATTACTTATGAAAATAATTGAATTTCTGCAAAGAATTTCATTAAAATTATATCCAAAATAATTGAATTTATTTAAAGTATTTTATTATTTATGAAAATAATTGAATTACCGCTAATAATTTTATTAAAATTCTTTTAAATAATTGAATTTCTGTGAAAATGTGATAACTTATGAAAATAATTGAATTTCTGTAAAGAATTTAATTAATATTCTTTTAAAGAATTGAATTTTTTTGGGAAATATTATTTATTATTAAAATATTAGATATTGAAAATAATTGAATTTCGAAAATTTGTTGAAAATTAATATTTTCACAGGAATTCAATTATATTTAAAATACAAATTTTAAAGAAAATTTTTCGACAGAAATCAATTATTTAAAATATTTTAATAAATTTCTTTGAAAGAAATTAATTATTTTCTAAAACTTTGATTACATTTGTTTGTAAGAATAAAATTATTTTCGTAAATAATAAATAAACTTCATAGCAAGAATTCATCTGTTTTGAACGAAATTTTAATTAAATTATTCGTAATAATTGAATTATTATTATTTTAAATTATCATAAAATGTTTCAAAACAATTGAATTATTTAAAAACATTTAATAAAATTCTTCAGAGGATTTCAAATATTTTCAAAAATTTAAAACCCTTTGTTCACACGATTTCAATTATCTTTGTAAAAAATAAAATTCTTTGGAAGATTTCAATTATATTCATTAATAATGAAATTCTTCAAAAAAATTCAATTATCTTTATAAAAAAAAATTCTTTTGAAAATTTCAATTATTTTCATAAATTTTAATAAAATTCTTCGCCAGAATTCAATGATTTTCATAAAAAATAAAATTCTTTGGAAGAATTAAATTATTTTCATAAATAATAAAATTCTTCGGAAGATTTCAATTATTTTCAAAAATTTGAAATTTTGACAAAATTTCAATTATCTTCAAAAAATAAAATTCTTTGGAAGATTTTAATTATTTTCATTAATAATGAAATTCTTCTGAGGATTTCAATTATTTTCAAAAATTTTTATAAAATTCTTCGCAAGAATTCAATTATTTTCATAAAAAATAAAATTCTTTGGAAGAATTCAATTATTTTCATAAAAAATAAAATTCTTTGAAAGATTTCAATTATTTTCATTAATAATAAAATTCTTTGAAAGATTTCAATTATTTTCATTAATAATAAAATAAAAATTCATCACGAAGCCTGATTTTTTTAAATTTCTCCGAGTGGAAGTTTTTGTATTTTTATTTAAAAGAATAATTTATTTTTTATAAATAAAATTTTTTTTAAATAAAAATTTTATTTCAGTCAAATAAAAGTATATTTACCTCAGAGCTCTCTTTCTTTCAGGATATGAAAAGTGATAGTTTGGAAAAATCTGAAGCAATTCTTTTTCCACTTTTTCTTGAAATAAAAATTGAAAATTAAAATATAGAAATTGATAAATATATTAAATAAAAAATAGAAAAATAATTAGAATAAACTTGATGTTTACAATTAAAAGACATTTATAATTTTTGAGAAATTAATAGAGATTTGTTTTTTTAGGACTCGGGCGGAAGGAAGAAATAATAATTGGAGAGTGTGCAATATCTAATTTCACAAAAAAGGCACATACACATTGCATTTAAAGAAACAGCACACGCATATCAGGAATATTATTTTATCGATTTAACAATACCAAGGAAACCGGCTAACTGGCCAAATGTCCCCAAAGTTTTTGGAATCTGAATTTGCAAGCATCGCAAGCCGACAGTGTTGCCCTCGTCCTGCCGCTTTCAATATGTCGGACAACGAGTCTGGTATGTATATGCCCAAACATTATAGTATTAAAAGGCAAGATAGACCTTTTACCTAGTTCTATTCGCAGAGTCACGAAGGTGCTGCGATTCTAACGTTACGTGCGTGCTACCATGTCGGATCTTTACAATTTTCCGGTTGTCCGTCTGGACTCGAAAAATCTTTCAACTTCTCCGGAAATCCTTGCCATTTGTGGTGTTCACTATTCACCCCCATTATTTCTTATCACAACCAAATCACTTCATTTTTTAATTTGCATTCTCTCCTTTTTTTAACTTTAATTACATGTTTAGTATTTTCATTCTTTTTTTGCCGAGTTTTATTTTCTTTTTTTTTGTTTATATACTTTAAAAGTTTCTGAAAGAATTATTTTCAATTATGAAACGTTTTTTTAGAGAGGAAATGTAAAGAAAGAGAAAATCTCTATTTTTAATTTAATTAAACTATTAATTGGTTCTTTTATTATCTTAATTAAACTTTTCTGAGATATTATCTAAATTTGAATTCGAAATCGGATACTGTTCTCATTTTGGAGTAAGGAATATTATTGTCTGGCTTACCGCAGAGAGCATGTTCTGTAAATCAATATTAATATATTTAGACATTTCTATTAGTGTTTTTTTTTCTGAAAATTAATTTTGCCATTCTTTATGACTTTCTTTGACTGATATTTATTCTCTAAATTAAATTTTTCCAAATTTTATTTATTAAATTTGTCGCAAAAGACGATATTCAATTTTTTACTATTATTATGATTATTAATTATTTTCAAAACTTTTAATAAAATTCTTGGCAGAAATTCAATTAATTTAGTAAGTAATAAAATTCTTTGGAGAGATTAAATTATTTTTATAAATAAATAGAAAAATTCTTCACAGGAATTCAATTATTTTTTTATATATTTTTTATAAAATTTTTCGAGACGATTTAATTATTTTTTTAAATTCAATTAAAATGTATTTAATTGGGTTCCATTAATTCAGTTATTTAAAAAAATTATAAAAAAATTCTGAAAAGAATTTATTTATTTTCTAAAAATCTCAATAAAATTCACTAATAAAATGTTTAATTACAATTATTAATAAACGCGATTATTTTAAAACTTGAATGAAAATCTTCATAAAATTTAATTATATATTCAAAATTTTCAATTAAAATTATTAAAGAAATTTTTATTTTACAAAAATTCAATTATTTTCATAAACAATAAAATTCTTTTCGAGAATACAGTATTCCTTTTAGTGCAGTTTAGCAAAATTTTTCTAACAAATTCAATTATTTTCAATTTTTTTGATAGAATTATTCGAAAAAATTCAATTATTCTTATGAATTGTGAAATTTTTCGCAAGAATTAAATTATTTTCAAAAATAATAAAATAATAAAAAATTTTCTAACGAATTCAATTGTTTTCAATTTTTTTAAATAGAATTATTCGAAAAATTCAATTATTTTTATAAATTGTGAAATTTTTCGCAAGAATTTAATTATTTTTAAAAATAATAAAACTCTTCTTCGAAATTCAATTCTTTGAAAAAAATTTTAATAAAATACTTGTCAAAATTTCAATTATCTTTAAAAATTTTCATTAATTTAATCTTTAATATATACCATTTTAAAAGAGTTTATCAATAGAATTCAATTATTTGAAAACAATATTTTTATAAAATTCTATACAAATATTTAATTATTTTCATAAATAATAAAAACTTCACAGAAATTCAATTATTTACAAATTCTTTATAAATTTCTTCGTAATAATTCAATTACTTTTACACTAATAATAAATTTTTTTACAGAAATGCAATTATTTACAAATTTTCTAAAATTTAAAAGAAATTTTTCATAAAATTTAATTACTTTCAAAATTTTTAATTCAAAATTATTAGAAACTTCATTGTTTTAAAAAAAATCCAATTATTTTCATAAAAATAATAAAATTTGTTTTCGAGTATTTAATTACTTTCAATTGAATTTTAGTGAAATTTTCCAACGAATTCAATTTTTTCAAAGTTTTTGATAAAATTGTTCGAAAATATTCACTAATTTTTATAAATTGTGAAATTTTTCGCAAGAATTAAATTATTTTTATAAATAAATAATGAAAATCTCCTCAGGAATTCAATTATTTTTAAGAAATTTAATGAAATTCTTAAAAAAAAAGAACTTAATTATTTACGAAAACTCTAATAAAATTGTTTAAAAGTATTTAATTTTCTATTAATAATTTCAATAATATTTAAGAATAAAATTATTAATTATAATTATTCTTAAAAACGATTATTTTAAAATTCTTGAAAGAAATTCTTCAAGAAATTCAATTATACTTTCACAAATTTTCAATTAATATTAGGTATTCAAAAAACTATTATTTTAGAAAAATTCAATTATATTCAATTTTTCATAAATATTAAAAATTTTAGCGAGAATTCAATTCGGACTTTCAATTGAATTTTAATGAAATTTTTCAACGAATTCAATTTTTTCAAAGTTTTCGATAAAATTATTCGAAACAATTCAATTATTTTTGTAAATTAAGAAATTCATCACAAGAATTCAATTATTTTTATGAATAATGAAGATTTTCTTAGGAATTCAATTATTTTGAAAAATTTTAATAAAATTCTTGTCAAGAATTAAATTATCAAAAATTTCAATAAAATTCTTAGGAAGAATTCGATTATTGTCATAAGTAATAATATTCTTTTCTAGAATTCAATTATTTTTAAATAGACAAAAATATTCGTCGAAAGAATTCAATTATTTTCAAAGTTTTTGATAAAATTATTCGAAAAAATTAAATTATTTTTATAAATTAAGAAATTCATCACAAGAATTCAATTATTTTTATGAATAATGAAGATTTTCTTAGGAATTCAATTATTTTGAAAAATTTTAATAAAATTCTTGTCAAGAATTAAATTATCAAAAATTTCAATAAAATTCTTTGGAAGAATTCGATTATTGTCATAAGTAATAATATTCTTTTCTAGAATTCAATTATTTTTAAATAAACAAAAATATTCGTCGAAAGAATTCAATTATTTTCAAAGTTTTTGATAAAATTATTCGAAAAAATTAAATTATTTTTATAAATTAAGAAATTCATCACAAGAATTGAATTATTTTTATGAATAATGAAGATTTTCTTAAGAATTGAATTATTTTCAAAAATTTTAATAAAATTCTTCGCAAGAATTCAATTATTTTCATAAAAAATAATATTCTTTAGAAGAATTCGATTAATGTCATAAGTAATAAAATTCTTTTCTAGAATTCAATTATTTTTAAATAAACAAAAAAGTATTCGTCGGAAGAATTCAATTCTTTTCAAAAATTTTGATAAAATCTTTCAAAGGCATTTAATTGTTTTTAAATTTTTTGATAAAATTTTTTGTATGAATTCAATGATTTTTAATTATTTATTAAAATTATTAAAATTATTTATTCAAAACATGTACAAAGAGGAATTATTAGAAAAAATTAAGAAAACGAAAAAGCAAATAACAATTAATTTCAAACTGCGAGAACAGATTATTGGAATAAAACTATTATTAATATAAAAAAGAAGAAGATTATTAATATAGATTTTTCTTTATTTATATTTAAAATGTTTACAATAATTATTTTATTTTCTAAAAAGAATCAATTAATAATTTACTATTTGAATTAATTTTTCGTAAACAAAATAGAATACATTCACCTTTGATATGGATGTAATTTTTCCGCATCAATAATAATATTTATATACTTTTTCGAATCAATAAAATATAGAATTTTCCGCAAGAAATATTTATATATAAATAAAATATGAATTTGTATTCATATTCAGTTGAAAGTGAATAGAGTAATCGTAAAAATGGACATATGAGAAAGTCTTGAGGTCAACCAACAGGTATTCTTAAGATATACCATCATATATCGGAGTTGAGATATTTCTGTCCGTCCTTTTAATAAGGGTGAGTTTCATTGACTTCTCGAGTTATGCTATAAAGTTCAGGGTATAGTTCTTCTTCCGTACAGAGCAGTAGTGAGTCAGGAATAAATAAATAAATAATAAATGCATGACGTCAATGACTTGAGACATATTTTCATCTATAACTTATAAACTTTATTATCCGTTGAAACTTTAGTAATATATCGCTCTCATCTATGGAAATTCTAATGCTCTTGTCGAGAGAGAGAGAGACAGAGAAAGAGCGAGAGCGATATTTATTATCCCGCAGTCTATAAGACAATTGATAGGAATACAATGATTCTTTTTCTTCTCTTTTTAGACTTTGAATTTATACTTACATTCTCTTTATATATAAATCGTTGTTACATTATAGTTTAGTCTATAAAACTCTAGAAAACAAAGTATAGAGAAGATGAGTGATTATCGATATAGTTATAGACAATCGTTTTTATTCGACGATTAATCTATATATATATATATATATATATATATATATATATATATATATATATATATATATATATATATATATATATATATATATATATATATTAAATAATCGTTGCATTCTGTGAATCTGTTTGTACTTTGATTTTTTGTTTTCTTAACTTTTTTTTCAAAAATTTTTTCAAAATTCTCATAAAAATTTCAATTATTTTCAAAAGTAATAAAATTCTTCTCCGAAATTCAATTATTTTCAAAAGAAATAAAATTCTTCTCCGAAATTCAATTATTTTCAAAAATTTTCCTCAATTCAATGATTTTCAATATCTACTATTTTAATAAAGTTTTCCAAAAGAATTCAATTGTTTAAAAAAAAAAAATTATGATAAATTTTTTACAGAGATTCAATTATTTTCAAAAATAACAAAATTATTATTTTTAGGAATTCAATTATTTTCATAAATAATAAAGTACCTATTTTAGATAAATTCAATTATTTTTAATATCATTTTAATAAAATTCTTCGCATACCTAAGTAATTCAATTATTTTAATAAAGTTATTAAGTTTAATAAAGTTATTAAGTTATTAATAATAATTTTA